TTAATTCCTTCCAGTCCTGTGGTATATTTCTCATCAACAATGTTCGGGCTCGTCCTATTAGAAGGTTTCGGATGGCTGCTTGTATAATTTGATGTTGGGCTTCTGATGTTGTAGGATAATGGTACACTAGTTCATCAACTTCCTTTATGAAGAGAGCCAAGTAGAGTGGGTCTCCATTAAATTTGTTTATCTGCTTAAGTTGCAGAAGAAAATGGTTCATGGCCACGTCTGTAAGAATTTGTGTTGCTTTTGCGGCTGTGGCTGCGGCTGCTGTTGATGTTGATGGCATTTCCATTTTTACAGTTTATTAAAAATTCTTTTTTTTTTTTTTTTTAAATTTTGTTTACACGAAATATATCAATTATTAGATTTATTATCGCTGAATTTAGACATTAGAAATCCTCATTCGTGATTTGACTAATGTTGTTGTTTTATTTTCACAATATTTAAGTAAGTTCGTTTTGCGGATACAAATAAATTTATTTTCACGAAGTGATTTTTGAAGTCCTTTTTAGGTAGTCACTCGCGAGGATATTACTTGTATCCTACCGGCTGCGCCAATTAGATTTTTCACTGTGCGATATATTAAAAAAAGCGATTTTTATTTTAATATACAGTGGAGTTTTATTGGTAATGTCTTAATAGTTAGATTCCCAAAATTGAACTGTCTTTACAATTGCATTATTCTTATAACTATGGCTTTTATCGGTGACAGCGACGCTAGCAGCGAAAGTGGACTTCGATCAGAAGATTTGGATTGGTCGAATTAGTGGCCTGATGGGTGGGTTGTCAGGCTGCATCTTTTGTTTATTAAATTTGGATTGGTCAAAGCTTTTATGCTGATGAATGGGTTCTCATGCTGGACCCTTTGTTTAAAAGTTTATGTCTGCTGTCGTCGGTAAAGGCGTGTGAAATGTTTATAATAAGGGGACTGTTGATAACAGGCGTGGGAAATGTTTATGTCTAACGGGAAATGTTTATGTCTGATTAATTTGAATAACTCCTATAGTAGGCTCTGAAATGTTATGTTTGACAAATGAATTAATGGGTATCTCGGGATATACAGGCTGGGTGTTATGTTTGACAAATGAAGTAATGGGTATCTCGGGATATACAGGTTGGGTGTTAGGCTTGATGTCTGGAGTATTTGGTAATACGTCACTTATATATTCTTGATCAGCATCACAAGGAGTTTTGATCCAGCCATATCCGTCTCCGTCTGTCTGTCCTTTCGTCTGTCCGTTCATCTGTCCGTCCGTCTGACCGTCATCTGTCTTTGGATTAAATTTCCCATTAGACTTTCCTCTATTGCAGGTAGTATATTCATAAGTAGGAACGAGCGAAATCGGACGACTATATATAATTATAAAGCTCCCACTCAAACAATTGGAAATATAAATAAATAAATATTATAACCTTGCCATTTTTCAATTTGCTTATAAATATTTATATATTGTGATGGAAGTTTAGTTGTATTAAAATCCGACAACTATATATAGCTGACATAATAGTGGTCTATAAATTCAGCGGATAATCAATATAGTTTTATAATTAATATTACGCTTACAAATTGAAATATAGTCCTTCGAATGTTTTATCTTTGCAATAGCTTAGCTGCAAGGGAATATAAATTTCGGCATGGCACCAATTTTCTTCCCTTTTTCAGTATCTTTTGCTGCTGTTTTATTTCACTAGTTGGTCACTGGTGGCATTGGCTTTTATTTTGTGTCACTGTGCGGCTTTAGAATAGGTTCTTGTGGCTGTTGTTGTTGTTGTATTGCCATTGCTGTTGTAAAATGTAATGTCTTGTTCATAGACTGCGCCCACACTTTGCAGTTCATATTTCCCGCTCTGCAAGCCTCTTATTCGAGTGTGTCATTTGCATTTGTCATAAAGAAAAAAAAAACCAAACGAGAAGAAAAATCAGAAATAAAAGGTCGCGTGGCTTGTTAGACACGGCTTTGCTTGTTTGTGATTGTGACTGTGACTGTGACCTGTGACCTCACTGAAAAGTCTCTTCCCGTGTCTTTATTATTTGCCAACTGTGAAGCTTACTCTATAAACAACTCCGAGCCCTTCTGTCCTCCATCCAACACACCACACCAAACCACCAGCCATTTAATAAAGTCATTCTATTTGCATTTGAGCCTTTGTCTTGTTATTTATTTGCATTTCCAGGACATGGTTGGTAGCTGCAGATTGCTGCTGCCAAAGCAAGATGCTGCAAAATACTATAGGTGGCTAAAAAAGGGGGGTGTTGAATAGAATAGGAGTAGGAAATGGCGTGCAAATGCCATTTTAATTATATTTGGCTTCGGTTGGGTTGTTTTTTCGGTTGTTTGTCGTCGCTGCTTCCTTGCGTTGCGCAAGTTTTTCAATTAAAATTAAATAAAACGACATAAATCATGATGCTGATGCTGCTGCTGCTGCATCGCTGTCAACTGTTTAGAACTAACAAAAACAGCAGGAACGAACCGAACCTAACCGAACCGAACCGAACCGCAAGCAACTTCATTCTGGCTCAAGGGGACCACACTGCGTATGAACAATCTGCAATCCAGCTAAGCTGCTCTACTCTGCTCTGCTTTACTCTTCTTGTTTTTATCCCGTTTTTTTTTCTCCCTTCTTCTTGACACACTGACATCCAGCTGACGGACATTTTATTTTGACTCTCTTAGTACACAGAGAAAATAAAACAATATACTCGCTATGATGAAATTCCCTATCAATTTGGTCTTTTGATACTTGGCGCATTACTTTGATATGTTCAAATAGAGAGAGAAAGCGAGTAATTACACTTGTTTAATAACAATTTTACAATAATTATTGCACCCAAAAAAAAAAATTGTCATAGAAAGTAAACTATTGTTACATGAAAGTTCAACTATTGGGTATGAACAATTTCTTAATAATATATATGAAAATTAAATCAATAAAACGAAAGTATAAAAATAATACTTATGTGGTTTAAAACTAAGGCTTTAGACTACAGTTTTAGACCCTTCGGTATATAAATGAAACTAAAAAGTACATGGGTTACATTATTTTGTATTGAACTAATACTTATACTTTAATACTGTCTGCAGTTGGGAATATCAAATTGACACTTGCTCATTTTTTTTTTCTATGCATATAAATAAATAAATATTATAACCTTGCCATTTTTCAATTTGCTTATAAATATTTATATATTGTGATGGAAGTTTAGTTGTATTAAAATCCGACAACTATATATATACTTACTTATACTTTAATACTGTCTGCAGTTGGGAATATCAAATTGACACTTGCTCATCTTTTTTTTCTATGCAGTGGCGGTGGGCAGTGGGCCAAAAAAAGGGGTGTGGCAGTTGTTGTACTTGTCGACCATCATTAATCAAGCGTCGTACAGCCAGCTGAAACCTAAGTACTGAAAACTGGGAGCTGGAAACTGGAAGCTGAGGGAAGCTAGCCAGCAGGAATATTTCAATTAAGTTCCATCAGTCCAAAGAAATCAGTGTTTGTGCCATGGCGAAACCAGTTATATTGATAGATTATACGGATATATTTGGCTAGCCAAAATCTAAAAATATTATTAATTACCATTATTGGTTACTTCTTAATTAAATTGTTTTTATAAGACATACACATATGATCTTCATATTGAAGAAAAATACCACAAACTGAACGCAATAACAAATGCAAAATGCAAATTATGTAAACTGAATCTTTGTTAGAATGTAAATGTATTATTACCAGAAATAAAGAATTGACTTGTTTAATTAACATCAATATGATTTATATGTTTGCATTTTAGGAAAATTAAAAAACTTTTAGGACAATTTTGAAGAAATTTTAATTGTTTAAAAAACAGTTCAAAACAACTTGATTAATTTGTTAAAAAATGTTGTTTTTCACTGTTTAAAAGGCTGAAAATTAAATTAATATTTATATTAACAAGATGCATTTCACACCTTAATTTTGGGTGAAAAATTAAAAATTGCCTTGCACAACACCCATTGCCTTGCACAACACCCAATAAACAAAAACACCCATATACACTCCCATCAGCTGGTGAACCGAAATACCAACTTTCGACCTTGGGGCGTGGCTGCAATATGGGACTGCAATATTGGATAGATAACGATGGCAACTGCCCCCCACTTTGCTGGCAATGGTAACAGTCGACCCAGCAGCAGCAGGGGCACAAGCAACTTAAAAGCAGCAGCAGCACTACACCCAAAAAAAAAGGGTTTAGTTTTAAAAAGTGTATAAGTATTCATTCAAAATTAATAATAATTTAACCCCTATACTTTTTAGTTTCACTTCTATACGAAAGAGTAGACTCTATGTCTTTGTTTTTAACCACATCAAATTATATTTTGATACTTTCGTGATATTAATTTAAAACTTATCTTATAGAGCAATTTATCATACCCAATAGCTTTAAATTAATGTAACAATAGTTTAGTTTCTATGACAATTTTTGGTTTTTTAGTGTGTACGACTGCTACCCGTGTGTTGTGCACTGTTTTTTATCAACGCCAATTGCAATTGTTTTTAATAATTCACTTTCACTTTTGCCGCCCCCCTTTTAAAGTGGGCCAACAAAAGGCAGTGGAGTGGAGGAAACCTTGAACCACATACCCATACACCCGCATATATGGTGTATAGTTGTATATTTTCATGTGCATATCTGGTGGCTTTTCGCGCCTGAGCCTGCTCTTTTTGCCCTTAATATTTCCCTCTTTGCATATACGATTGTTGTTTCAATTTCAGAAATACAGTATATATAATATATTTTCCGTTTTCGCCCACTCGAGACACACTGGCAAATAGAATTAATGCGCTTTTGGAGGTAAACCTTAAACCGAAGCCAAAAACAATATTTTTAGAGAATATTTTCCTTTTGTCTCTTGCTTTTTGCTTTTGCCTTTAAGTCCTATTAAATGAATTCTACCTCGAATTTTCTGCAAGCCACTCAACAAGCCTCTCGTGCTTTTGTTTCCTTTTCTTTTCAGAAACACCAGCAACATCAGCAGCAGCAACAGCAGCAGCAACTTCAAACGGTCAGCTGCCCCAGAAATTCACCGCCTTCGTGGCAAGCGACGTCCATCAGGTGAGCTTTTCCCGCTCCAATTGGGTGCAAAATGAAATCGGGGCTAGGAAAAATCGACAAGATGTCGTAGCCAGGAATTGTAGATGCTCTAAATATTGCCCACTTGGCCAGGCGACAAAATTGTTGCATTAATTTAAAACGATCTGAAAGAGTTATCTTATCACTGCCTGAGATATACAACTTTGAGTAGCAGAAAAAAATCAGAACTGTATGATGAATATAGAACCATTACAAGACTGTTTTGGTAATCCAACTCATCTTTGTTAGCTCAATAAATGTGTGACAGATTACGGAACTATTTTAACCTTCTCCGCTTTATAATAAAATAATATTTTTATTGTTATTATTGTTATATTTGAACTATAATTGATTAGCTAATCATTATAAACCATGTGGAATTATTGTATATAACTAATAGCAAATAATATTAAACTAACCTCAACTAGACTAAATTTAATGGTCTACTGAAGTACTTATTTGGTGACCCCGATTTAAACACGGCCATTTCACCATAAGTGCTCTTCATACATAAATCATACTTCGCATTCAGTTATGCAGTCATTTCCCGAATTTAAATATGCTTTAGCTTCCTTTTGCCGGGTTGCTTTGCTTGCTTGCCACACAACAAGTAAAGCAAACTCGGGCATATGTTGATGTGTTTAAGCCTATTTATTATATTTTAACTTGCTCAATGTTCCGTTCACTGTGCGCACTCATTTCACTCCTGCCATTTACCTTACCTCACCATCGCCTTGAATCAAACGAAATCCTGTTTTTCAGAGGACCCCAGTTTCTGTTCAAGTGGCTGGCTCTCCATGGAATGGCCAACGGGCATGGGCATGCCAACAACAAATATAACAAGAAACAAACAAACAACCAACAACAAACAACCAACCAACAACATGGCAAACAACAAACAAGCTCGCTCTCGCATTAAACGTTTTCGCTTTATCCTGCTGACTGAGCTTTTGGGTTTTTGGGATACCAGATCCCAACAGAGATCCAGGTTGATTTTTTTTTTTTGTTTTTTGGGTCAGTCAGTCAGGCGGTTCAGTTCGCTTTGATTTTGATTTTACTACGGCCAAGACCGACCTGCCGCCCCAAAAAGTGTATATGCCCCCGAGGCAATTCGCATTATCGGCTGCCCATTATCTCCGCTCTGAAAATGTTAACCGAATGCTCCACCAACTTGACTCCTCTCATGCATCATCTAATTTATGGCCTAGACAAAATGACAAAAAGGGGGAGGAAAATTGGGGTGGGAAGGTTGCTGCTGTTGCTTTCATTTCATTAATTATGCAGCGAAAAATCAGCAGCAGCAGGTGTGCCACAGTTAGAAAATTGGAGATGGGTGCGTGACACGAACTTTGGCACAATTTCGAAATTTCGATATGAACCTTGTTTTTAAAATAAATTAAATTGGAACTCTGTAGAGGAGTTTTTTCGACCCTCTACAGTATATGTATGTATTTTTGGTTGGCAATTTTTGAAGAGTTGATAAAGCCATGTGCAACTGTCCGAGCTCAGTTTAAAATTGAAAGCTTTTAATGATTTTTTAGCTTTAAAATCATTTTGGAAAAAATTACCTAAAAAAGTAGCCTAATGACCTACGTTTTTACAGTTTTAATACCTTCAAAAAAAGGCAAAGTGACATTTAAAGTATTAAAGTACATCTTAAGAATACCTAAAAAATGTTTTGGTTAACTAAAATGTAATAACATGTCCCAAAATTATTCTGAAATCTATGTAATTAAAAATACTTTTTAGGTATTTTAATGTTTTTTTCTTCTTTTCTTTTCTTTTCTTTTCTTTTCTTTTCTTTTCTTTTCTTTTCTTTTCTTTTCTTTTCTTATTTTATTTTATTTTAAAATGTTCTTAAAATTTATTACCGCTATTTTCATGGTGTATTCATTTCATTGTTAGATTAATATTTAAATGGATTTTCTTTGGCTAAGGCTGCTCGGGATGTAGTTCTATTCTTATGTCCGCCACTTAAAGTCTACATTCAACCCGCCAGCGCCTGCATGTTCTCGCTAGACCCCCAAAATAAAAAAAAAAAAACTCCTTTCAATATCCCTCTCAAAATTTTGTTAGCTGGTCTTGATTTTTGCTGTTTCTTGTTGTGGATTGTTGTTTGTTGTATGCTGTCGCTTTTTTTCTCTGTGTGTGTGTGCTACGACCACAAAATCTGTTTATGCGCCTCCAGCCAACTCCAGTTGTACGCCACAGCCGCCCCCGTGCCAGCCCCGCCCCTTTTTTTTTTTTTAAGCATTTTCCAACTCTGTTGGCGCTGCATTTGACTTTTATATGTGAACTAATTCATGAAAAATGCATGCTGCTTGCTGCCTTGTTGCTCGTTGGCTCGCTTACTTGGCTCCTTGGCTGTTTGGCTGCTCGTGCTCTTGCTTTTTGATTTCTATGCTTTTTGCTTTTAGCTGTTTACTTTTTGCTTTTTTTGACTTTGGTCTTTGGTCTTAGCAGCGCCCAAATGAAGAAAAACCGGCCACCATAAATCTTTGTCGTCGTCTCTCACCACTGCACTCGTTTTCCAAACTGCAAATGCGAATGCGAATTGCGAACGGGGATGTTGTGAATGGCAAATGCTGCGGTTCGGCATTTGGCTCCTTTTTAAACTCCAACTCCAGCTTAAGCTCAAACTCCCCATCTACTGCATCTTCTGAAAGCCAAAACTCCAGCTCCAAACACCAATCTCCTGCTTCATCCACCATTCGTTCGTTCTGCGGCTTTGTTCGTGTGGCAAATAATTAAATTAAGATTTTTATAGCTTAATTGGATGTTTGTCGTGGAGCTAGCCGAACAAACGAACGCCAAGTGACGAATGGCTTCGCCACCAGAGCCCGTTACATTTCCAAGTTTGCACTGGGAGAAAATGAGAAAATGATTGTATTGAGTCATACAAATATTTTACATGCTTCCAACATACAGTTTTTTAAAAACCTATACACATTTATGACTTCATATGTGTTTAGCAGTTAGTAACAACTTTAATTAGAGAGTAAATAGTATTCATTTTGATCACTCACTTAGTTTCAAAATATTGATAAGGAATTTAACATAAAGTTTAAACAAAAATATTTGTACATCTTTCCAACATTAATTTGTAAAAATCCTCAAGCTAAGAATTTATTAAACGAATTAATTTGTGTTAATCAGCTGGTAAAAACTTTGATTAGAGGAAAAACTATTATTCATTCAATTTAGATTCAAGATATTGATAGAACAAATATTAATTTGAAAATATTAAAAAACACAAATCTGTTTATTGCGAACATTTTCCTCAGTGCAGTTGTAAGTTGCAAGTGAAAGGCAACATATTGGGGGTGCTCTTGGGTCTTTGATCTCTTTTTTACCAGTCTTGTGGTTGTGGGTATCCGCTACAATTGCGATTAGACATTGACAGAGTGACTGGCCGTCCTCAAGTGGAAGCAACAGCTACAACACTTCGTTTGAACAGGGCAAAAAAATCGGACCATCTAAATCGAACCCAGCAAAGCTCAAGAAGTGGTCATTTTAATATATGTGTTCTACATTTAAAACATTGTGCAAGAACCAAAGGTGCTCAACTTTGGTATTTCTTGCGGGTTTACAACCACAATTTCCTTGGCATTTTTAAAGCCAGAACCAGAGCCAGAGCCTTGTGAGAAATTCAATATAAAGGTCTTCTTTGTGTTCCGTTCAATACAATGATCCACAAGTGTCTTCCTTTTATGGGCATGACTCTTGCAGTAAAGGTGTGCTTATGAGTAACCTCTATACATGTACTCATTAACCAACCTTTTTTGCTTCAAGTTCTTCCATTTTGTTCTTTAGTTACCATTGTATTGGGGTACTATAATTTCAAACAAAAAAATGGAAGGGAAGGACACCTTTCCGATGTTATAAAAAAGTTAGAAAACAAAAAAATCAAATATTTGCACGTTGAGAATGACAACGAATCTCATACCAAAGTTTAACTTTAAACTTTTAAACTGACTGATTTTTTTATTTATTTAAAATTCAGATCCTCAGTCGAAAATTGAATATTGAATTGAAATTGTTTGAATAATTTTTCATATTTTATTTAACTTTTCCCAAAAATGCAGCTTTAGAAAATCTTTTGATTTTAAATTAAGTGTTTGTTTTGAAATTATTATATATACAACTTTTACTAAAACTGAGCATTCATTTATTTGGGTACCGTTTTCATCTTTTATTTAAGTTTAAAATTTTCTTGATTTAAATTAAGTATTTCTATTGAAGTGTTAAATAAGTAAGAAAGTTAAGTAAATCTCTTTTTTTCAAATTTAATGTTTCTATTGAGGTTTAATGTGTTGTAATTATATTTATATATAATGAATTCGCTTTCCAATAAGTTTCTCCGCATTTTTAAAGAGTTTCCTTTATTCTTCTGGCTTAAGTCATAGTTCGGTGCTCCGGAGAGTCCAATACTTGTCCCAACTTTATGTTTTATGTAGTTCAGCTTTCGGCGTTGGCCTGCTGTTGTTGCTGCCGTGATGATTGTTGCCTTTTGGGGTTACCTGGTCACTGCGGGGCACCGAAATCTGCACAGCTCTAAGCGCACGTCGACGTCTCTGCTGCAAAGGCAATCCTTGAACTTTTCGCTTTTCAAAAATGCACAGCAGCATGAAAAAGTCGCGATTGCAAGGGGCGAAGCTGCTGGTTGCTGGTTGGAAAATGGAAAACGGGGAAAGGGAGAAAAGAGGAAAAAGGAGGGCTTACTTATGCATTCGGCTTTCATTAACATGCAGTTGACTTTGGCCGGCGTCGCCAGCGCCATCAAAAGCATAAATTCCATATGCAAATTGAGGCAGTTGGCTCGGTCGGTCACAAGGTGGTTTTACCAGGCGGTGGTTACTGGTTACTGGTTACTCGTACTGGTTACTAGCGGTTCGGTTCGCTCGCCTTTGTGCCTTTGCCTTTCAAAGCGGCAACAAAAGGACAAAAGCCCATGGACAGAACAAGCAGAAAACAGAAAACTG